GTGCTGAGATTACAGGTGTGAACCACCATGCCCAGCCCTATTTTAATTTCTTTGAATTGAGTGCTAACACACAGTAAGTATTCAATAAACCCTGGCTTTGTCATTTCTTGATTATTTGATCTTGGGCCTGTTACTTGCCTTATCTAACCTTTAGCCTTCTTATTGGTAAAATGATAATAATTGCCACCTTGCAAAGTTGTTGTTAGAATTATAGATAATATAAGTCTTATGTAAAATATTATAAGAGGCATCTTTACCCCAAAGTAACATATAATCTTATTGGAGAAATTGATATAAATTAAAAGAGGCAAATTGGTGTAGAGGAAGAATACTAACAAGGAGTGGGAAGACCTAAGCCTCATCTCAATTTAGCTTCTTAACAAATGAGTGACTTTCCTCCTCCTTTTTTTCCTAGGTCTTACTTTCCTCATATCAAATTGGAGGGAGGTGGTGAGTGTGGAATGGAGAATCCCCAAGATCTTTTCTCACAGTAACACATAAGGATTCTAGAAACAGAAAATAAAAACAAGAGTAAAGATATGTAATTCTGAATTTTGAGGTGTGTAAAGAGAAGGCAGTGGCTGGGCACGGTGGCTCACACTTGTAATCCCAGCACTTTGGGAGGCTGAGGCAGGCAGATTATGAGGTGAAGAGATCGAGACCATCCTGGCCAACATCATGAAAACCCCTCTCTACTAAAAATTCAAAAATTAGCTGGATGTGGTGGCACATGCCTGTAATCCCAGCTACTTGGGAGGCTGAGGCAGGAGAATCACTAGAACCTGGGAGGCGGAGGTTGCAGTTAGCCAAGATTGTGCCACTGCACTCCAGCCTGGCAACAGAGTGAGACTCCATCTCAAAAAAAAAAAAAAAAAAGAGAGAGAGAGAGAAGACAGTTATTCCAGGAAATTTTTCTGATATTATTTGAGACAACTCTTGAAGAAATTGAAGAACACAAACTGGTTGGAAAAGAGAGAGTGGGGTGGGGGTGGGAAGAGACAAGAAGAAGCACAGACAAAGGAAGATTAACATTCCAGACAAAATCTTGGAGTAGTTGTGAAAAAAACCATCAGACCTCTGGCTAGAACCAGGAAGTTATGGCTAAGATGCAGTGGGACAGGAAGGGGAGGACCAGTGGATGTAAACCTCAAGCCCTAGGCCTTAGAATTTAGATTTGAACTGACTGGCAATAGGGAGCTGCCAGAGGTTCTGAACAGGGAGTAACAGGGTGATAATAGCATTTGGGGAAGTATATTGTGGCAGCTCCTCTGCTGTCTATATAAAACGGAGATGCTAGAGGCAGGGAGACCCAAAAGGATCTGTGGAAACACTTCTGTAGGAGCCAGATTAGATTTGCTTCATCACATCTTGGGATCCGGGTGTGAGGTAATGGGATCCTTAACTAGGTTGATGTAGTACAGGGGTCCCCCAGCATCAGTCCATGGCCTGTTAGCAAGCAGGCTGCAGCGGGGGAGGTGAGCATAGGGCAAGCTCCTAAGGCTGAGCTGCCCCTCCTGTCATATCAGTGATGGCATTGGATTCTCATAGGAGCATAAACCCTATTGTGAACTATGCATATGAATGATCTAGGTTTCACTCTCTTTATGAGAAATGTAATACGCTTGAATCATCTCAAACCTATCCCCACCCTGCAGCCCTCAGTCCATGGAAAAATTGTCTTCCATGACACTGGTCCCTGGTGCCAAAAAATTTGGGGACTGCTGGTGTAGTCAATTGTTTTATTGATCAAAATATTCGTTCAAGCTAATGCATGCTGGGCTTAATATCTAGGTGATGGGTTGATAGGTGCAGCAAACCACTATGGCACACATTTACCTATGTAACAAACCTGCACATTCTGCACATGTATTCTGGAACTGAAAATAAAATATTCATTTAATCTCTCTAGGAGATTATTTTGCATTCATGCTCTCTGATGTCAGCTTGGCCATGTGACTTGCAGTACCACTCTTATAAAGTGCATCAGGCCTATCTTCCTCTTGAACTCAGAAGTCATGTGGCTTTAGCCAATAAGAAATGAGTGGACATGACACATGCTACTTAGAAGCAGAAGCTTGAAGAGCCACTTCAAGGTCTCACCATCTTCTCTTTTTCTTCTGCCACAAAACTAGTGATGTTCCTCATAGGAGGTGCTCCTTCAGCTTAGGTACTGGAGTGAAAGTGTGTGGGGAAGAGCTGCGGTTGACCCGCAGCAAAAATGCATTTGCAAGACATAGTCACTGGCATTGTAACCCACTGAGGTTTTAGAATTGTCACTGCGGTTTATTTCAGCCTTACTACAGATGGATATAGATCATGGCTATAAAAAAAAGACACCATTAGAGAGGAAAAGAGAGAGAGAAGAAAGTCACTAATGCGATGAGGAAGAGCGAAGCAGACCTCTTGGGTTCAGGGCATTAGAATGTTACCTCCTCAGTGATGAGGGCCTATTAAAGGTTTGGAGGTGGGTGGGAACCCTGTTGTTGACAGCCTGAGGTAGAACTGATGTTAGGATGTCCAAATGGAGAGTCCTTGGAGGTCAGGCCTCCCCCAACTTCCTTTCCACTTCTCATTTCTCTCATTTGATCCTGGTATGAGGAGGAGGGGGCTAGAGCCAATGGAAAGTACCATCTGTGGGCTCCTAGATGGGATTGCTGGGCTTGTGAAATGTCAGTCCTAGGATCCTGGCTTTTCATCTGTAGGTGGTAGGAGTCTAATGAGATGAGAGCTGTGTAGTAGGAGTGACTGTGGGACCACGGGAGGGACTTTGATGAACTGGAAATGGGAAGAGTGTATTAATGACTCTGGGCAAGGGGTGAAGTATACATGAGCCAGTGCAGGGCACAGGAATGGAGGTCTTTTAATCTTTGAGATCAAAGTCCCATGGCTAATTTATAGACTTACCAGTATTTGATATCATATTTGTTCTTTATATTATACCTAGAATCTCATATTTTTAGTGAAACTTCCAGAAATGAAATCCAGAAATAAGTCTCCACTCACAGCCTATCACAGAGCCTGTCTTATCTTTCACCTAATTGCCAAGCCCACTTACCTATCAAAATAATAGTGATGATAATAATAATAATAGTTGTTTGGCATCTGCTATGGTACTGTGTGCCTGGTATCGTGCTAAGCATTTTCTATACATTTATTCTCACCTGAGAATGGGCCATTTGTTAAGCGAATGTCTCTGAGCTCAAGACCTATCTCTCCATACTCCGCTTTCTGATGCGGAAGCTGAGACTCTGCAAGTCACACTGATGCCTTGTCAGCTGCTTCCTGTTAGGCTCTGCAGATAGGGGCAACAGAGGAGGAATGTGAGTCTTGGGTAGGGAGAAGGGGGCTGCTCCTTCTTGTCTGCTTCCTGTTTTAGTAATGTCCCCCCAGCAATGGTTCCTCTCCCTGGCAGTGGGTTCATTCCAGTAGCAATAATGAAATCTAGTTTGCTGGCTTTTCAACTGTCACAGAACTGGTCTCATCATGCCCACTCAGCAACCCTGTACCAGCCCAGCAATGCATATCCTCAGAGGTATGGGTGTCAGCCCTGCAGGAAGTTTCTCAGTTTTAGTGATTCTAGCTCCCTTTGCTTTGTTCTCCAGCCCTCAGGGCGGCAGCTACTTCCTGCAGTTCCCGCCTCAGTGATATCTCAGACTTAGCGTTTTACCCCTTCCAGTTGCCTAGTTAACAACTTTCTACCCACTCGATGATTCTTTATGTTTAATTCTTTCTGTTGAAATAACGTGTCATTTCTCTTTTCTGCTGTAACCCGACTGGTACACTGAAGTACATGTTACTCCTTCCCTTGTATAAATAATGTAGCCAATGCTTAGTGTTATGCCCACTGTCATACTGCTAATAAGAGATTTGAGTCAGAATTCAAATCTTTCTTTTAACTCCAAAGCCGTGGTTGTAACTGTCCCTGCTTCCTTTGGGGTCTCACAGTCTTGCTTACTTTGTGTCTGGTGTGTGCCATCACTGAGTGACCAGACCGGATCACCCAGTCTTGAGCTCAGAGACATTGACTCAACAAATGGCCCCGCTCTTTCCCCTACCCTCTGAGTGGGCAGGGTAGAAGGCCCAGAGGGTGTGAGGTGTAGATGGCATCAGTGTCGCCTTGTTGATGGCCGGCTGCTGCTGGTGCCCACATCCATGGTGTCGTGAGTTTAGGACTTAGCACCCCAGGACCCCCTTTGCAGCCCTTGGCTGAGAATTCGCTCTGGTCAGTTTCCCCTGGCTTCGGAAGAAGAGAAGTGGGGCACCAGCGTGTGGACAGGGAGCAGCCCGGGAAGGGAACCAGGCTAGCTGAAGTGGACAGACAAAGGGACGAGCTGGGAGCTCCCCAGTGTTTGGCTTCTCTGTTCAGGAAGAAAGCAGACACTTTAAATCTCAGTCTTCTGTGAATCAAGCCATCCCAGTTTAATATGGTTTTGCTTAGCCCCAAGCTGGAATGCCCCCTCGTTAAACAAAACAAACAGAACAATGCAAACATTTCATCCCCTCCGCCACCAGTTTCCAGGCCTGGGAGTCTCCTGCAGATCTGATGTGGTGGCTTGTGCTGTGGGTGGGGCTGCCCTGGTGGAATGTGGGTGAAGGGTGAGCCTCAGCCTGGCTCCCTCCCAGGCTTCCAGGCAGCAGGACCTAACTCTTCCTTGCAAAATTTTCACTAGAGCCTGGAGGGAGGAAAAAGCCAGGCTCATCAGCACCAGGCCTAACCTGGCCTGCCCCCACCTCATGGCCCTCCTACCGACTCCCTCTGGCTCTGGGCCAGGGATTATCCAGCTGACACCTGGAAGGTGGTTGAGGGTGGCCTGGGAGGCAGGCAGGACCCTCATGACACTCACAGTGTCCTTGTGCCTGATCTCATAGCTTTAGAGAGAGAGGCTGGAGAATCAGTTATCCACAAACAACTCAGAATTATGGGAAGGGCTGGATTGTTCACTGTGCTCCTGATGTTGATAAATTTTGTTAACTGAACGAGTCAAAGTGTACTGACTGCTTACAGTGTGCCACTGGCAGGAAGGTGCCAGCTCAGTTCAGTGCCTTGCATAGCAGGGCACTTGGGGAAACAGAATTTGTATTGTTGACATTTGACATCGTAGATTTGTCCACTTACTACGATAGTTTCCCACATACCCTTGCTGTTGATTTCTGTGACTCTGTTGGTATTTGTACACAGTACAGACATAAAAGCTCTTGTTTCCTTCTGGAGAGAGGAACTGGGGAAGAAGCTTCTGGAGAGGAGAAAAATAGGGAAGACAGAAGGGCTGGCATGCTTTCTACTCTCTAGCCCAGTGGTCACGGGGCCAATGACCAATGCAGATAAAAATACTCTTCATTGAGTCTCAGCAGTGAATTTTCTCAGGGCCCAGGGGCAGCTTGCTGGCAAAGGGACCCTTCTCTCCCCTGCCTCACATTCAGCACTTTTGTGGCATCAGAGAACTGCAGACCTTGGGGACAGGTAAGGATACGTGAACACTTGGCTGGGTCCCTCACCACCCAAGGATGGGCAATGGCAGGGAGGGTGTCTGTAGCTTATGAGTAAGAAACATGGAGCCATGGGAACTCAGAATGACAGATGGTAACTGGAGATTGTGGTAATTCCTTGTTTTTTGTGGGCATGTCTATGAGCCTCACAGACTTTTGGAGACAGCCACTTAGCAAGAACTGGGGGCAGATGGGGGAAGCTAGGATCCTGCTGCTTTACATTCAGTAAATATTTAAGGAGTTAGGAAAGCTGGAGTATTCTCTGTCATCTAGTGTGGTCAGGATGGGCCTCTCGTAGGAAGTGACTTGATACAGTAGCCCAACGTGGGGTGAGGGGGCATTTCAGGAGGAGGAACTAGCTGGTTGTACATCAGGCTGTACTGTGCCGTCCAGTAAGGTTGGGGCAGTGAGTATGGGAGATGGATGCAGAGGAGGGCAGAGAAACAGGAGGAAACCAGAACCTTGAAGGTCCTAGACAGCACTGAGGTTTTCCTCTCGATGAGATGAGAGGGCTTTGAACAGAGGAATAAGGTGATTTGATGTGTGCAGATAAGGCTTTTAAACTAGCAGCCATTGCAGGGTTGTTCCCAGCAGCCTTTCATGGTGGTACTATTATTATCCCCATCATCAAAGCAGGAATCCTAAATACTTACAGGATTTAAGTAATTTACTCAAGGTTAGCCAGAGTGGAATGGAAGTTGGGATTTGAACACAACCAGAATGAGCCCTGCTTTTAATCACCAATGGATACTGCCTCTTCATAGCGGAAAAAGCTCGTCATGCTGCAAGAACCTTTTCCTTCAAGCCTAGTACTAGGTGTGACAGCAGCCTCCACACCTGCCAAGTCCTTTCTGACCTCCCGGGGACTGACTTGACTCAGCAATCATCCTTCTCGGTGATTGGAACACCCAACTGTTGGTGCTGTCTCAGGCAAGCAAACGCATTTGGGTTAAGGATCTTAGCTCAACCTATAGGGAGATCCTCCTTAGCTCAATCTATAGGGGATTCAGAGACCTAGTCCCATTGAGGCCTATGCATCTATTTAATTAAAAACACGTTCAAATCTTGAGGTTTGGGAAATTGCCTGCCTAGTGATGCAAATCTATAAATCCCACTTCCTGCTGCTTCCAGGCTGACTGTAAATACCCTGAAAAATCAGCCTCCCTGGAAATGTTTTGATCATTCCATTTCTGGCTCAATAGGTAGTAATAAATAAAAATGAAAGTGGTGGGAGAAAAACTAGACTAAATTAAAATTAGCCCTATAAATAGGGCTCAGCTCAGGAAGGGTGGTTAAGGACTTCTGGCTTGTTCCAGAAGTGGCTTCTGACGTGACTCTTTAATTACTAAACCCGAGTCCTCAGGGTCTGTACAGCCACTTCGTGTCTCCCTGATGACTCACCTTCAGCTTTGAAGTTAGCAGGGATAGATGAGTCATCATCGTTTCAGAAGAAACAACTGATGCAAAGGATCTGTTTTGCTATCAAACTAGGGCAGTTATTACCTGTACTCAACCAAAAGCAAGCACCAAGCCCTGGCATGGGCTACCCATGGAGCACTCACAGGGCAAGGGAGCAGGATATTTGAGATTTGTGGTGTTCTAGGAAATCTGGTTGCATGGGAGCCACATATTCTGTGAATTTGAAGTCAGGGTCTCTGGCAACCTGAATTCTCTAAAAGGTCTCATTACCACTTAAGGAGACACATTGCCTTCCTGGTAACAGCAGCTGCAGTGATACGATAGTAACAATTACAGTACACCCCAATGTGCTGCAATCCCAAAACCATCTGAGTTCACCTGACAGTCCTTGGTATTTATTTGATGAAGTAAGCTTTGAGATAGGCATACTTCCAGAGCTGGTGGTGACACTGCCTGGATTCTACATGGACTAGTATGCCCAGCTAGTGTGTTGAGCAGTCCCAGGGAGGGCTGTCTGTGGAAGGGTAAATGAGATGCAGATGTGAGCTCCTCATTTCATTGCAGCATACATCTACCTACCCAGTGAACATTGTCATTGCTTTTATCACAAAGACCCACCTCCCACTCACCTTTTCTAGCACTAACCTAGGGCTCTTTTAGATCTATTCAGAGATTCGTGGGCCACTCCACGGCGGCTAATAGCCCATTGCTTGCTCTCAACTCCTGCCCACTGATGAACTTTTATTCCAATTGCTTAGCAGTGGCATTCTCAGGGATCAATGGCCATACACTCATGCTTTCTGCCATTCTGGTGACAGCACACAAACACACATGTGCACACTCCCTAAAAGCATATGTACACATACACACACAGAGGCCTCCAGTGAACCAAATGTGTAAATCTTTTCCAGAGTGAGGGCAACTAGACTATGCCAAAAGATAGAATTGTTTCACTCTCTTCTTATTTTACTTGGATTCAACTCTTATTTCAGTAGAATTGTTTTATTTTTCCAGGGAGGGTTACTATGAAAGGAACCTGATTCTCTCTGTGTCATTAGGAATGTGTCTCTTTCACACCAAGCTCTATGATTTTGCCTCTAGAAATGAACTCCCAACTCAGAAAGAAAGAAAGCTCTTTTTTTTTTTTTTGGAATTTGATTCTTTCAGGCAACAGATGCTGAGTGCCTACTGTGTGCAAGATCCCAGCCAGGTTGTTGAGGATATAAGAATAGATAGATTAAACTTTCTGCCCTCTGATATACAAAACTTAAATGTCTTTGCTGGCAACATGAAAGACAAGATACATATGCCTATATTTAACTCCTAGATAGATAACTTCATGGATCCAATCTCAATGAAACACTTTTGCCACAGAGCTTTTGACAATTTCGGGTTCTTTGCTATGGGAGTTTACAGTGTCATTGCAATGAAGGAAACTCTTTTTCGTATTTTGTAAACTTTTGCAGTGTGCAGCCCTAGGGCAGAAGTGATTATAGTGAGCTTCTGTTAATTAATTATGCCTATCAGAGTGCAGACGCTGAGCAGTCAGTGGGCTTGGAGCTGCATCTGGCAGCTTGTGGAGAGCTGGGTGCCACAACGGGGCTATTGTTTTGCTCACTGTTGCCTTTGGCTCCCTCTTGGCATTGGTTTCTAATTGCCTCCCAACTGGGTAGGTCTGAACCTGTTTTCTGAGCCTCCTTGGCAGGTATGTAACCAAATGTCCCTAGGCCTCACCAGCCTGTGGGAGCCAATTAGATGACACTTTCACTAAGAGTTAGCTAGCTGCTTGCTCCACCTGTGTGACTCCTGTCCTTCATACCTCCCTTTTCTCAAAGTTTATCTTTTTCTTTGGGGGAAGTCCATAGCATGTATCAAGTATGCAGAGAAAAAGTTGGCAGCTCTTGGATGTTCATGGCTTGTCAACCATTTGCAACTGCCCCTTTCTCAGTGTCCTGTGTCTCAATTCCCCTGCTCTGATCCAAGTCTCTGGTTCAGCCACTTGGGACAGGTGGCTGAGCTGCTGGCTGGGACACCCATGAGCTTTCAGGGTCCCCAGCCATGCAGAACTCTGAGGAGCTCAGGGATATGCTCCGTGGGCTGCAACTGTGGCACAGCTCAAAAGAGCACTGCAACATCTCTCATGAAAATCCTCCCTGGGATGCTTCTCTCACTCTGGTCTTGTCTTCCAGGGTCACAAAACTAGCCCTTGGCCTCTGCTTCACCTGCAAAGTGCCACAGAGCACTGTGTTCCCTGCATTCCTTCTTGTGCTGGGTCCTGCTGCATTCCTCGAAGAACTGGAGAAAACACCCTCACCCCACCCTGTGCAGTTTTTTTATAGTTTGAGTCCTGAAGCTGCTATGTGTGTACCTGAGGATCTAAAATCCTCTGTGCGGACAGCTCCTCAGTTTCTGGCTCTGGCTTTGTGCTCGCTAGGGGCTCACACCCTACTGGGCCAACTTCCATCATCCTGCAACCCCCAACCCCAGTTGTCCCTTAATGTCCATCCACTGTTCATTAAACTCCTCCTTGATGCTCCAGCTAAAAATTAAGATGATACAGATCAACTGTGCAAATAAATACTTGGAGACAGTGGTTGGGTTCTGCTCTCAACTAGGCCTATTGCAAGAAAAGCACCGAGCTTCTAACATGTATATTCCTTTTTCTGGCTTTAGACAGAAAGCAGCTTACAGCTTCTTGGCTGCAAGGCCCTCCATTCCTTTCCTTGATTTCCTCACCCTGTTTCCTAAAAGGATAAAATGAGATAATGTGGTAAAAGTTACACCTAAATTGCAAATGGCCATGTCAGTGTAGTATAAGGTTAAAACCTTGGATGCGGCAATGCTCATTAGATACCAACACTGAATGACTAGTGGCCATGATATTTATTATTTATCTAGTAATCCATTAGAAATATTTAGTGAGCATCTATTATGTGGCAGTTTCTATTATAGATATGGGAGATATAGGGATGAAAAAGAAGGAGGTCCTAATGGGGAAAGATGAATGCTACATAAATTAATTTAAAACAATACATAAGAAAATATCAGACTGTGACAAATGCTCTTCAGAGAATTGATTTAGAGTAATGTGATTGAGGGCAACTATGTGGTTCTGTTGGAGCAGGAAATGAGGTTAGGCTTCCCAGAGTTAGTAACTGGACAAGATTAGATTGAAGGAGGAGTCATCCATGCAAAGGTCAGAGGAAAGAGGACTTCGGGCTGAAGAGCAACTTGGGCAAGGAGTAGGGCTGAGCTTGGTGAGCTCCGATGATGGAGTCCAGGAAAGGGGGAGGCTTCATTTTTCTGCTTTTGGCATAATTGGAAGCAATTAGAGTTTGAAACAGGGGAGTAACATAATCTGGTTTGTGTTCAAAAAAGAGAACTTAGGCTGCTGTGGAAGGAAGGGGCTGAAGTGACTCAAGACAGGCAGCAGGAAGACCAGGCAGGAGTCTGATCTGGTAGGATGGTGATGGGTTCAGGGTGACCACATCCAACTTGGAGACCGTAACAGATTGGGAGTCTTTGGAGGCAGAGCTGACTGGACTTGTTGATTGATTGGACGTTGAGAGTAAGGAAAGAAGGGGCTCCAGGATTTCTGTGTGGCAGCTATGGAAACCAGAAGCTTCTTACCAGATTGGGATGCAGGTGGCCTGCATCAGGGTGGTGCCCAAGTGTTAGGAGAGTGGCTTATCCTACAGGAGGGGGAAGGGAGACGAGCTCCTCTCTTTTTCTCTCTGACATGTATGGGTACTGCAGGAAGATTGGAGAGAACCTGCTAGCGCAATCAGTTGGTTTCAAATACTTAAGCAGCTTTTGAAAGCAAACCATAGCCAATTCCACAAGCTAGCAAGTCAAATAACTTTAAAATAGCCCAAGGCAGGTATAGTGAATTAAAGTGGCCGAAAGTTCTGTTTACTGTCTGAAATACCCTTGGCAGTGGTACAGAGAGTTCAGGAGCTGGGCTGGGCTTGGGGATTTCTGATAACAGTCTTCACATTGGAATTTAATTTGTTTTACTTAAAGGTAAGTCTGAGTACTGTTCTCATGAAAACTGCCTGCCCAATCTATTCTTTAAGGACCTGAAAACCCAGACCCCAAAGGAATGTTCTGCTTTGCCAACATTCACTGTCCCGGTGTTTGCTGACTTCACAAGCAGAACTTGATGAAAATATGAAAAGACCTGCGAAAGGGTGAATGTATGAGAGAAAGGCCCTCTGGGAGCCCAAGGAATTTACAGATCCCTGAATTTTATCACTGTAGTTACTTTTAAATTAAAGACAATACTTTTCCTTCCAGGTTCTCCTTGACAAATAAGAATGCAGATGTCACTCAAGTGTATGATACGAAAATCTTTCCCAGAACTGGGAGTATCCAGAACTAACCACACATGAGAACTGTTTTTTTTCAAGGTCTGAGACTTTCTCCTAATTCCATCTTAGTCACACGTAGTTACTCATTATCTTGAAGGGCATTAAGAGTTTATCCATGGCCACTGTACATTTTGTGCTTCTTTGTTATATCAAGAAAAAATGCAGCCAGCTGAGTCATAGTGTTCAATTAGTTTTTCAATTTCACCAGGAACACAGTTTTTCAATATCTTTACAATTTTGTTGCTTTTCGTATAACTCTGATTACATACTTTGCAGGATAATCCAGGCTTTTGCTTAAGTATATTAACAATGCATAATATAAATGGGGAGCAACACTATTAAAGTAATCTTAAGCAGAGGTGAAAATTTGAAAGACAGCAAGATTTAGTGACTCATATTCAAGGTCTATCGGGATGTGACAGAGAAAAGGAGAATGAGACAATTATGAACCTCGAAATCATGACAGGGCTTTATTGAGCTATTCTATGTGGTTTCCAAAATCTAAAATTTATTTAATTCAACAGACATTACACACCCATTTTACATCCAGCCCAGTAGGATAAGTGTATTCATACATTTATGAATATTTATACATACTTATTCATACATTTATGAATAAGTGTATTCATATATTTTATCAATAAAATATTTTAAGCACTGCTGACATGTAAAACACTATGGATACAAGGGCCTCATCTTCAAGGAACCTTTATCTAGTTGGGTAGAAAACACAAATGAACTAGTTCAATGGCAGCACAAAGTGGTGAGATGAGCTCAAATGAGAGGTATGGGCAATACATGCCTGAAGGTCAAAGACTGTTTCCTGCCTGAAATAGTCAGGTCCCTGACCTCAGCTAAATGGTCCTTGAAGGACAAACAAGATTTGGGTGGAAGAGACTAAGGGACAAGTTTCTTTAGGCAGGGTGAACAGCACACACAAAGGTACTGTCTGGGAAGGGTTCAAGTGTGCATGTGGCAAAAGGGACCCACTTGGTGAAAAGGCTTTATGGGGACACAGTTAAAAAAAGTAGACTAACACAAATAGTGTCATTTTCTGGGATAGAAATAACATGCTTTCTGAGACAATAATGACTTCGCTGACACTGTGTCTATATGCAATTGTGGAGGAACTTAGTCACAAATAATCTTTCTTATCTATTTGCATGAGTCAGGCTGAAGCTAGAAAAATTTATGAAAAATCAACGCATTAAAGAAGCAGTAACTCACTCCTCAGAAAGTAGGAAGAGGAATTAAGATGGACTCATACAGAGTGTAGTTATTTGAGCAAAGGAGAGGCAGAGTCATCAAATGGTAATGCATTTACCTGCCAGTCCTATATATTAATTTCCTCTACTGAAGAGGTTTGATCTCAGAGGGATTAACTCTTTTTTGGGGGGATTAAAAATAATCTCAATAATCAAGAGATTTCTTTAGCTCAGATGGTCAACGGATTTAAATCCAGAATGAGAACCATAGAGATTGTCCAATTCTTAATTTACCTGGGCCATTAGTTTGCCACATGTGTGATCCTAGATATAATTATAAAATGCCAGTTTTTTTCTTGCTTGCTTTTTCTCTCTCTCTTTTTTTTCTTTTTTTTTTTTTTTTTTGCCATGGAGTCTCACTCTGTCGCTCAGGCTGGAGTGCAGTGGCATGATGGCATGATCTCGGTTCACTGCAACTTCCACCTCCCGGGTTCATGCAATTCTCCTACCTCAACATCCTGAGTAGCTGGGATTATAGGCTCATTCCTCCACGCCTGGCTAATAGTTTGTATTTTTTTTAGTAGAGACAGGATTTCACCATGTTGGCTAGGCTGGTCTCCAACTCCCGACCTCAAATGATCTGCCTGCCTCAGCCTCCCAAAGTGCTGGGATTACAGGAGTGAGCCACTGCGCCCAGCCCCCAGTTTCTTCATCTTTAAAACACCTACCCAAATGTTTCAGAAAGTGAAATATAAGATTCATATTCTCTCTCTCTTTCTCCATCCCCCTCTCTCTCTCTGTCTAACTAGGGTGGTGCCATGAATGTCAAACACCGTATTTTCAAAGCTGTGACAGGCCCTGCCACTCACTACCTGTTGACTTCGTATAAGATGCTGAATTTCTATAAGGCTCAGTCTCAGGCTCTCTTTAAAACCCGCATAATAATACAATTTGATAAGGGTGTTATACAGTTGAAGACAAATATTATGTGCAAAGTGCTTAGACAGAACTTGGCAATTCAATAAAATAAAGCTATTTTTTCTTTTTGTTAAACTGGTATAGTTATTTACAGTTTATAAAGCATTTTCATGAACTTCACGATAACCTTTTAAGGTAGAAGCAGTTATTACCAGTTTTTGAGATAAGAAAACTGAGGCTAAGAAATATCATGGCCATGCCTCAGCAAGAGACAGTCGGGCAGTCTATCAGGCCAATTTCAATGGCATTTACCCTCTGCTCTAGCTGTCTTTTGTGGTGGGACACACAAACTAAAATGAAGTAAGTTATATATTTGTTACATACAGTTCATAGTGAGCATTCAGTAAATGTGGTTCCCTTTGAATCTCATAAGGTGGCTAGTGAGGGCTCCAGGCAAAACTAGTAAGCTGGTCAATAATTTCTTGATTTTATACCTTCGTGTGTCTAATATGGTAGCAACTACCAACATGTGGCTATGAGCATTTGAAATGTGGCTACTCCAAATGGAGATGAGCTGCAAGTATAAAATACTCACTGGACTTTAGAGATTTCATGTAAAAATATGTAAAATATCTCACTGACAATTTTGAAAATTATAATGAAATGAAAATATTTTGGTATGTTTAGTTAAATATTTCACCTGTTTCTTTTTACTTCCTCATAATGTGGCTACTAGAAAATATGCAATTGCATATGTAGCTCATATTTGCGACTTGCATTAAATTTCTATTGGACAGAGCTATTTACTTAATCCTTTGCCCTTCCAAAGGTATTCCCTGGCCTCTTGGCCCTCTTCACCCCTCCTCACCAGGACTCCAGGATCCTCCTGTCTGGAAAATAGTGTTCTGCTCACCTACTTCATGCCAAGATGTTAGTTAATATCTGTCTCTGCAGAAAGTCTGCTTTTAGAAAATGTACCGAAAGTGGATGTTAATACAGCTACGTGTGGAAGAGATACTAAGGCAAGGATTGGAATTTCAAATGCCTACAGGAGTCAAGAGGATACTGTAAAGTTGACTAGATGCAGGCAGCAATAGGGAGTGGTGGAGACTGTGGCAAACTGAAGAACACATGCCTCATTCAAAGGGAATAGTTACCACCCAGCTCTAACTAACTGTTGCCATATCATATCCCATATTGGGCCCAAATTCTTTTGATTTTTTTAAGGGCAGCCAGAAATCAAGTGTCTTCTATGATGTCTTCTGATTTTCAAAGATTTGTGATTAAATACTTTCAATAAGCATTGTAAAGGGCCTATGAAATCTGCCCAGCAGTTCCATTTGGCCCACTTGGCCTCAGCTTTATATCAAGGCTCACCTGGTGAGGTGTGTGGTAACCTGGACAGGTAGTGCTTACGATATCAGCTTTTGCTCTTGACATTTGTGGAGCTAGAAGAGTCCTGCTTTGTTACAGATAAGATACTATGGCCCACAGCAGACAAATGGCTCACTCTCAATCACACTATCACTCTCTTAGGCCAAGAATGCCAGAGTTGGCTGGGCACGGTGGCTCACACCTGTAATTCCAGCACTTTGGGAGACCAAGGTGGGCAAATCACAAGGTTCGAGACCATCCTGGCCAACACAATGAAACCCCATCTCTACTAAGAATACAAAGATTAGCTGGGCATGATGATACGTGCCTGTAATCCCACCTATTGAGGAGGCTGAGGCAGGAAAATCACATGAACCTGGGAGGCAGAGGTTTCAGTGAGCTACAGTGCACTCCAGCCTGAGTGGCAGAGCGAGACTCTGTCTTAAAAAAAAAAGTTAAAAAAAAGCCAGACTCCTGCTCTTCATGACTTCAAAGTCATTGAGTCCTCAGTCTTTAAAACAATAGTCAGTAGGCAGCTATTGATTTGGCAAGACGACAACAACAACAAAAACAACAGGCAATGTCTCTGTCTGTCCCATTGTTTGCCTCTGAGAAAGGCCCTTGGTGAGTGGAAACACTCTGTCAGGTGGGTAAATCAGAGCAAAAGATGCTGTGTCCACACTGGTTTCTGGCTGGTTAGGGGAATAGTACAAATGGATAATGTTCTTCATGAATTTATCTCACATATCATAGAACTTACTCTACAAGATCGTACACTAATCATTTACAGAGTGAGCTGAAATCCCTAAATAACCCAGGCGGAGAAAATCACCGCACTGCTGAATACTCTTTTTATTTATGAGCAGGTGCACATTCTAGACACCTGAGTCAGGCCCAGAGGGAGAAAGTTTCCTTAATCTGCAGTTGACATAGGAAGATTTCTGTCTGTGTCATGCTCTGAATGTGTCTGTCCTCTTCCCAATTCTAAAGTGCAAATGGTCTAACCCAGTCAGCAGGAAAAAAAATGCAGGTATAAAATTTAGCATTCTCTCAACACAGCATTTGTTCATTCTAACCTCACCTTTTGCAAATACACCTTTAGAGCTCTTAACACTTAAGCTACTTACTTATGTTATTGATAATGGTTCCAAAACAAATATCAGACTTTAAGTGATTTCAACCCTTCTTGCATAAACTCTGAGCTCTAGCTTATGAGAACATTGCAGAGATAGCCAGAATTAGCTTTTTGCTAATTTGTAATATTATGGCTTCTAGGGCTTTTAAGTCTTAGAAACAATTTCTTTTCTATGAAGGGTCTTCAAAGGTTCATAGAAAACGCATATTGTGGAAAAAAAACTACATGTGGATTTCAAAATTTTTTTGCACCAAAATAAACTCATACTAACTTGTTACAACATACCTGAAGATGATCTAGTTTAAGGCACTAAGAATAAGACATATGCCAGGCAAGGAGACTCGTGCCTGTAATCCCAGAACTTTGGGAGGCTGGGGCAGGTGGCTCACAAGACCAGCGTGGGCAACATGGAGAAACCTTGTCTCTACACAAAAAAAAAAAAATTAGTGGGGCATGGTGGTGTGTGCCTCTAGTCCGAGCTACTCAGGAGGCTGAGGTGGGAGGATCACCTGAACCTGAGAGGCAGAGGTTGCAGTCAGCCAACATCACAGCACTGCACTCCAACCTGGGTGACAGAGCAACAGTCTGTCTCAAAAAAAAAAAAAAAAAAAAAAATAAGAAGGATAAGATATAAATTCAAAGAGAGTACATATCAGAGCATTAAGAATTCTGCTAAAATTGAAGCAAGAACAAACATGAAATTTATGGTGAAACTTGGGTGGAAGAATGGTGAAATCACTGATGCTTTATGAAAAGTTTATGGGAACAATGCACCAAAGAAATCAGCAGTTTACAAATGGATAACTCATTTTAAGAAGGGTTGAGAAAACGTTGAAGAAAAAGCCCATGGCAGCAGACCATCCACATCAATTTGTGAGGAAAAAATCTTGTTCATGCTCTAATTGAAGAGGACCAATGATTAACAGCATAAATAGTCAACACCATAGACATCACAACTGGTTCAGCTTACACATTTCTGACTGAAAAGTTAAAGATGAACAAACTTTCCACTTGATGGGCACCAAAACTGTTGTACCCAGATCAGCTGCAGACAAGAGTAGAGCTTTCAATGAAATTTTTAAACAAATGGGATCAAGATCCAGAAGCATTTCTCCTAAGAATGTAACAGGAGATAAAATACTGGTTTACTGATATGATCCTGAAGACAAGACATAATCAAAGCAATGGCTACCAAGAGATGGATGTGATCCAGGGAAAGCACGAGCAGAGCAGTCAAAAGCAAAGACCATGGCAACAGTTTTTGGGATGCTCAAGGCATTTTGCTTGTTGAGTTTCTGGAGGGACAAAGGACAATAAGGTCTGCTCATTATGAGAATGTTTTGAGAAAGTTAACCAAAGCTTTAGTAGAAAAATGCTCAGGAAAGCCTCACCAAAGAGGCCCTCTCCATTATGACAATGCTTCTGTTCATTCCTCTCATAAAACAAGGGCAATGTTGTGAGAGTTTCAATAGGAAATCATTAGGTGTCCACCCTGACTTCTTTTTGTTTCCTAATTTTAAATATAATCATAAAAGGGCACTCATTTTTCTTCAGTTAATAATGTAAAAATGACTGCACTGGCATGGTTAAGTTCCCAGGACCCTCAGTTCCTTAGAGATGAATTAAATGGCTGGTATCATCACTTATAAAAGTGTCTTGAACTTGATGGAACTTATGTTTTTTGTTTGTTTTGTTTTGTGAAGCAGGGTCTCACTCTGTCATCCCATTGGAGTGCAGTGGCATGATCTCCACTCACTGTAACCTCTGCCTCTCAGGCTCCAGTGATTCTCCCACCTTAGCCTCCCTCCCAAGTGGCTGGGACTACAGGCATGCACCACCATGCCCAGCTATTTTATTTTTATTTTTTTGTCGAGACAGGGTTTTGCCATGTTGCCCAGGCTGGTCTCAAATTCCTGGGCTCAAGTGATCTGCCTGCCTTAGCCTCACAAAGTGCTGAGATTACAGGTGTGAGCCAGAAGCTTATGTTGAAAATGAAGTTTGTATTTTCCATTTTAATCTTTTAATTCCATTTTTCCACTAACTTTATGAAGTCTCTTTATATTATGCTTTCTGACCTTGTCAGCTGTCTAATAAGATTGGAAAAGCAGGGATTATTATTCACATTTGAAAGATAAGAAAGTCCAGCAAGGGAGACTGACTGTGTGACCCACTGAGATGACATGAACAAGGTGTCTCCCTATCCCCATGTTTTTTTTATGTAAAGCAATTATGATCTAAGAAATCTGTAGCTCACATTCCAAAACAGAGCTGAACTCCATTACTACAAAATAGATTCTTATATTGCCTTAGATATTCTGTGGGCAAAAAATAGACCTACTGATATATGCCTTCATATTCATATTGATTCTATAATACCTGTAGATCTAAATCATAAGGATTATTTATAGCATTATACTAAAAAAAATCAAATAAGAAACAAAAAACAACAAACCAGGTACAGTGGCAGATGCCTGTAATCCCAGAACTTTGGGAGGCTGAGGCCTCCCTGATCACCTGAGGTCAGGAATTTGAGACCAGCCTTGACAACATGGCAAAACCCCTGTCTCAACTGAAAATACAAAAATTAGTCAGGCATGGTGGCATGTGCCTGTAATCCCAGCTACTAGGGAGGCTGAGGCAGGAGAATCACTTGATCACAGGAGGCAGAGGTTGCAGTGAGCTGAGATTGCACCACTGCACTCCAGCCTGAGTGACAGAGTGAGACTTCATGTCAAAAAAAAAAAAAAAAGGCCACAATTTCTGATATTCTTGAATGACATGAGAAAGCTTTTTCTCTCTCCATTGGAATCCAAATGAGAGAGCACATCCTTCCAACCAGGAGCAGCCAAACAGGTGGTCTTGACATGTTCTCTTCCTATGACCTCCTTACTCTATTTTTAAGTAAAAACAAAAAACATGAGAGAATATTTTGCAATGGCCATAGTGTTCAAGGAAGAGGTGAGAGAGGCCTCAGCTCTCAGAGGGACAAGGTAGGGATAGATGACAAAGTTTGTACCTGGTAAAAGGAAAGGGAAATGACCAAGAGAAGACCTAAGAAGGGGGACAAGGGTGCTGGGTATAGGATGGGACACCAAATATGAGGTCACATTTTTAAGTTCAACTTATATTTCGTTGTTTGATGTCAATAATCTAACAGTATTCTTTTCTACAGTGTACATCTTAAATTTATGGTTATCAATTGCCTTATTCTTACATGTGCTTTTGTGGCCCAGCCTGGAAACTCTCCCTATTTATTATGCAAGTTCTGTAACATAATATGTTCAAACAGTTGAAGTAAAAATATGTTTTAGGGCCAGGCACAGTGGCTCACGCCTGTAATCCCAGTACTTTGGGAGGCCGAGGTGGGCGGATCAATTGAGGTTAGGAGTTCGAGACCAGCCTGACCAACATGGAGAAACCCCATCTCTACTCAAAATACAAAATTAGCTGGGTGTGGTGGCACATGCCTGTAATCCCAGCTACTCTGAAGGCTGAGGCAGGAGAATCGCTTGCACCCTGGAGGCAGAGGTTGCAGTGAGCTGAGATCATGCCATTGCACTCCAGCCTGTGTAACAAGAGTGAAACTCATAATAAATAAATAAATAAATGTTTTAGGAATACAACATGTCAGTTGAAGACTATTGGTAAGTACAGTGACAATCCTGGAATGAACTGTGAATGTGGGTTATGAATCATAGAATTGCTTTAAGAAATAGCATAGGCCAACTAGTATTCAATGTTGTACCACATTCATTTATCACTGCACCCCAGTCCCTGACATGGGAGGCATTGGGAGCTTCTGGAAAAATATGGTCAGAAGCAGTCTTACATCCCATGGGGACTAACATACCCCATGCTTAGCATATGTTTGTGTATTTTTAACAGATTAAGGTATAAAATAATTATATTCAGATCGCCACACAGCCCACAACAAATGTGCTTTGTTGCTAAAACAAATGTATTTATATACAACACAAATCATCTATAATAATAAATTATTTAACTGGCCCCAGACCCTATGACAATTTCTCATAAAGGAAAAATCCTTCAGTCATTACAGAGGGCTCTATGGAATCCCCCTGCTAAGCATGGTTGCAAGTATGGCAGACGTGCAACAGGCAGGCGTCCCTGCTCTCAAAGGGCTTAAATCTTGAAGGAAGGAGATAGATAAAAAGCAAAATATATAGGACTTTAGATAGTGCAATGTGCTAAGGAGAAAAAAAAAACTAGGAAGGGAAATAGGAATTTTCAAAGAGGTAGAATGGGTTTGGAAGCCCTCAACTGAGACGGGACGCTTGAGCAAAGACCTGAAGGCAGTGAAGGATCCACCACATGGGCATCTGAAGTGAAGCTTTCAAGGCAGAAGAAACAGAGGTGGAGAGGACCTGAAACAGAAGGGTGTCCAGCATAGGCAAGGAATGTGGAGGAGCCCAAGGAGGTGGTGGAGTGCGGGGAAGATAGTGGCCAAGAAGCCTGAAGGGTCATATTTTATATGTGTCCTATGTGGAGAGAGGGAAGAAATGTATCCAGTCCAACTGTCTGATACTGTTCTCCCATCAAATCCAAATTCCTCTTTAGCTTTCCTCATCTCCATGTAGATCACTCACGCAGATAAAACCATCACCCTCAAATATCAAAGATGGTCAGTTCTTTGGCATGGAGTATGTTTATTTCTTTCTGGTCATGCACAGCATTGGCACACATTAGCTGAGAGGGCTAAGCAGAATCAACTGAATTTGCTTTGTCTCCTCCTCTCCATTCCTACACCCCTCACCCACCCTAAACCCTCAGCATCTCTCCTCTGGGTTACCAGAAAAACCTTGAGCTCTGGTCCCACCTCCAGTGTCTGTGGCTTTCAGCCATGCTACACAGCTGCCCCAGCCACCTCCCTAATGCCAAGAGTTCTGAGGCTCCCTGGGGTCTCTAGGGAAGGCAAGAGGAGAAGGTGAGTGGTTGGGGCTCTAGACTCCAGCTCCACTTCAGCCAGAGCATCCCTTTCTATTAGAATCAAGTATGATGCCTCTATGTGAATTTTTTTTTTTTTTGCCTACAAAGCTGGTAAGTCACTGCCCTAAAACAACAGCTCGAATCACATTACTCCATCATTCTCAGGCTCTGAAACCCTCAATACCCCTTGGCCAATGAGATAAAGCCCAAGCTGCTATTACACTAAAATAAAATCCACAATCCTTACAGTGGCCCATTAGGTACCCAGTGGCCTCTTGAACTCCTTCCTTCCTGTCTTCTCCTCATACTGGCCACGCCAGCCACACAGACCTCCTTCCAGCACCCTCCAAGTATGGCACTGCCTTGGACTTCAGCACTGACTCTCCAGAGCTCTTCTGCATGTTTGATTGGCTGACCCCTCATTTCATTCAGGAATTCATTCAAGTTCCTAACCAAGTGTCATCTCCTTTTAGCCAGCCCTGGCCACCCCATCAGAAATGGTGCCCCATGCACTGTCGATTTTCCAACCCTGCGGTATCACTTTATAGCACCTACTGATACTTGATGTTGTAGTATATCTTTGTTTATTTGTTTATGGTTTATCTCTATACCAGAATTATATGCTCTATGAGGAAGAGGACTTTATCCATTTTGTCACTGTTCTATCCCCAGGCATTTAGTATAATGCCTGGTGCATAGCAGGTACTCATTAAATATTTATAAATATATGAATGAATTAAGAAGAGTGGAGGCAGGGGGCTGTCAAGGCTCTCTAGCCTTGTCTGAACAAGACTGTTCAGTCCTAACCCATGGCTGTCCCTGCTCCTTCCCCGACCTGCCCTAACCAGATTCACTCCTCATCTGTCACCAGCCACCGCCAGTATTGTCTCACTTCTGCTCAAGGGATTCCTAATACTTGAATGCCCTTCCTGTCACCTACTGCCTGACATAACAAGACTCAGTTAAAATAAAAAATCCTTTTTGGAATTTTCCCCAGTCCTGTGCCTGAAGCATGTTTCCCTTCCTGGAGCCTAGAGCTCTTTATTCTCTGATCTTTCCCTAGAGTCCTGCCCTCAGTCCACCTGGCTCCATTTGTGAGTGCACTGGAACCCTGGGCTTGCAGGGCATTCTGTTTCTAGAACAGTGCTGCGGTATCATATGTGCTCAATAAAAGTTGATTTCAGAGCTAGAAGGAAGAAAGGATTGAATGGTAGCTGACACCACATTCCTTGACCTCCCTACTTTTACTTTTTTAGTCGTACTGAGCTACAGTCTGATTTACCTTTGGGTATCATTAACTCGCAGCAATGTAGCTTTTGTCCTTCCCAGGCAAATGCTGCCAAGTTCTTCCCAGCCTGGCTTTTCCTCACGCTTCTGTTGTTGGACCTGCCCACAGCACCAAGAGGTCCTTTTGTGTGCCCCTACCTTCAATGCTCACATACTTTCCTCACCAAGCCAGAAAGTTTCATTGACTTGGATCCAAATTATTTATTACCAGCACTTCCCAAAGTGTATCCTGATGACACCAATTCCAGGAATGGGTCTGTGGAGGGAAAGGCTTCTTTCTGGAGTGGAATCAGGATATTGAATGTTCTGTGAAGTTCTGCAGTAAAAATACCTGTTGAGCATCATCAAGCCAAAGAATCACATATTTTTTAACTACTGAACAATTTTTCCCCTCTGGAGTACTTCCTAATACTTTGAAAAATTACAAATTTGCAGAACAGAATTGTACTATATTTTCTTAGATGACATAGGTGTAAAAGAATATTTGCAAAATAAATTGGGGAATAACCTGCTGATAGCACCACAATTCATGCATACATATAGAGATAGAAAATAGTCAATAGCATAAAACTCAGTATAACAACAGTCAGCATTAGTAGATGCTCCTTACAAAGTTGGTACTCTAGAATTCATTCAATCCACAGAGACACAGATTGGTTAAGTCCTGCTAAATTCATGTAGCTATTGAGTAGCAGATGAGGGTCTCAAACCCAGGGGTCTGTCTTTCAGGGGCTTGCCTTAGTCACCCCACTCTGATAATGCATGCCCCACGGATCTCTCTGTAGCTGAGATTTTATGGAACTTTTCTAAGGGCAGGAAACTAATACTTATTTTGTACTCACTCTGTTAAAGTTCTCAGTAACCTTGTGAAGCAGGAATCAGAATCTATATCTCAAGTCATCCAGTTAGGGGCTTACTTCCATGTTGCTTTCCCATTTGTGAAAGGGCTCAAAAGTGCTACTGGGACCCATTAGTCCTGTCTGATCACTTGTTAGGGTTTCCATATGGCAGTGGCTCGTTTGCAGCAATTCCTTTGAGAGGCCCGGAGGAAGGGCTGAGGGAAAGGCCTCTCCTGGGGACTGCTTGTAAGCACAGAAAACATGTCTGGAGAGAAAAGGCAGCATTAAGCCAAGGGCACACATACATCAAGGTAGCTTTTCTTTCCTTTCACTAACAAGCCTAAGAGGTAAGGAATAAGACTAAAATGGTCTGTCAGCCAATACAGGTGAGAATTGTCGATTATCAGACTCCACCGGAAAGAGGGGCGGGCTTGATGACTGGAACATCTGCTGCCCTCTGAGAACGGGGCCCACCTAACACTGAGTTGAATCTTTCTTGAAGCTGCAATGTGCATCTTCCTCCACCCCAAACTACACAAAAATGCCACATAATGAGAGAGTAGGACAAAGGCAAAACGAATGCCTTTTCTCTTTCTCTCTCGGAAGGATAATAGTGGCACAGTCCAGGCTGATCAAGTTAGGGGCTTACTTCCATGTAAACCTGAGAGGAGAGTATGTCTAGATCTTTATCTTCAGCAGAAACCCATGGTGGAGTGTGAGAGTGTCTTTGGGCATGACCCTCCCAGATGTGGGCGTCCCCCAGAGGATCCTTTGAAGGGGGAGAGAAACAGGGTCAGCTGGCCTGCAGGTAACTATGCTGGGCTTCACACTGGGCTGATGCATCAATAAAGGAAATCCAGGGGGATTAGGTCTCCTTTGGAGAGAGATCTGAGCCTGAAGATGCCTCTTAGTGAAACTGGGCTCAGTCCAGGGCAGTCTTGCTGGTCTTGAAAGTACTGTGGCAGAGAGAGAAGCATCCGGGGCTCTGAAGTCAGTGGGCTGGTGTGAACTGCTGTCCCACTACCTTCTTAAGTGCTCTCTTTAAGCCTTGGGTTTCCCCACTGTATAATTTATATATTAATGATAATTCACAGAGTGGTTTTAAAGAATAAATGAAATATATGTGTATAGACTCTGTAAACTGTGAAGTGCTGTAAAATGTAAGCTGTTATAATTATGAGATCATTTTTATCCACCTCAGATCACCTAGGTGGCCACTGGAAGTCAGGACTTCAGCAGAATCATTTTTTTGGTCATTCATTCAAATGTTGTTTGTAAAATTGCCTGCCTTTCATTAAGCTAAATACTTACTAATATTGATTAGATGGTAGGTACTATTGGAGCCACAAAGGATATAGAGAGAAGACCTGGCCCTTGGTCTTGAGTAGCTCATAGTCTTATAAGAACAAGAGTCTTGTAAACAGATATTACACCTGACTTATACACATTCAGCCCAAATCTGTGAGTGGGTGGGTGGGTGGGGAAATGGTGAGGCAGATGAGGAAAAGAGTGAGGCTATGATGGACTTTGCAGTAGGATCTGTTCAGGGCTATCACAAAGGGGGAGCTGTAATGTGCACCTGGGAAAGGTGGTCCCTGAGAAGTCAGAGAAAGTTTTGCAGGGTTAGAATCACCTTGGTGACAGATCACCGGACAAACTGCCAAAGACAGCAGCTCCCTGAAATAGAGAAAACTGCAAGGGCAAGATCCTGCAGCTTCAGGGAGGAAATCCAAATGGTTCCAGGACAACCCAAAATGCTTACGCCTTGCAGAACGCTAGGGGGCGATATTTCAACTGTACTCACCATAGGTGAGCAGATCGATTAAGACTATTATATGCAGATGGCAGTCAAGCGTCTTGGAGGAAGGTGACATTTTTTTCCCATTCACAAATAATGCTATATGAGCTCACCCAGTTCTGCCCAAACCTTGAGCTGCTCACACAGGCAGTGGTGCCTAATTTGAGCCTTGCATTCTCTTCATGCTACTTCCCCTTTGGGTGAGGAGGAAAGGGATGGTCACGTTCTTGCTCAGGAAGAAAGCCATGGTGACAGCCTTCCTGGGGCCAGTGGGGCCTATGCCACCTAGTTTATAAGAAAGGCTAACAAACCTCTACCTTTTCTTCGAATCATTTGGTTAGTCTTGTTTTCACACTACTTTTCTCTTATTTCAACTGGGACTTACAAACATCGGGACATTTTCCCTTTAAATGCCAATGTAAAAGGTGACACAGTTAGAGAACCTGGAGAGAAAAGTCTCTTCCTGCTCCCCTACCGGCCACTCTTCCAGGTCAAAGTGCGTAAGGTGTGATGACTGGCCCAAGGCCTAGCCCTCCCTGAAGCTTTTGCGTTGATGAGAACCCTCTTGGACTTCCAGGAAAGGAAGTGAGCTGAGTCCATTCCATCACATTAAGAAGGGGAATTCTTAGGTACTTGCGGGGAAGAAAGCTTTCTCAAGCTTAAGCTTGCCCAGAGGGAGAAAAACCATCCTGACTCTCTCTCTCCCTCCATGCTTTGTTTCTTTTCTTTTTGGTGTCATAAAGCCTGGGTGCTCTGGATGCCTGGGCAAATGTGTTTTATTCCTCTTGGCTCCATGCCTGTCTGTGCTGTCCCTGCCCCAGGCCAGGGCAGCTGGAGGTGACTCATTGTCTGAGTCTAGTTCCTGTAGATTCTGGGCTGGTTTTGTTTCTTTAGGAAACTTCCAGCACTGCCCTGGACTTGCCTTAAATCAAACCACTCTTTGAGATCAGGAACTGCTGCTTTCTACCATTACTCTTAACACTTAGCACAATGTGGAGCACATGGTAGGCAGTCAAAGA